AACTATGACATTTACAAATGAATGAATCATATGGTGAAAAACTGACTTTGAAAAATAAATCTGTTCTTTTTTTTTTCTTATAAAAGGCTAAATTAACAAAAATATCGGTGGTAATTTTTGACTGTGTAACTTTACGAACGGCGCCCCATAAAACAAACATGTCGGTGATTTCTCATTTCTAAATGTATTCTTCCCTCACACCAGAGACGTTCAGCTGTCACATGAGACAAAGGAGAGAAACGCGGTGATGTCAGGTCTGAGTGAGGACGGGCTGAGACCCATTGTTTCTGTAGAAAGAGAGGACTTATCGGGACAAAACAGACTGTTTCTAAACCAAAGTCACATGTGGATGCAGATAATTTATTCTTTTCAAAGGAGCTCTCTCCCTTTTGTGTCGGTTTGTTGGTTCTGTATGAAGGCTGGGAAATGTTCCTTTCCATCGGTGACATTTAGAGGCGCGATGGTGAAAAGGGTAGAAAACTGTGCGAGGATGGTCTTACACTCGTCTCTGCAGAGAGGACTTATCAGGACAAAACCCAGGACAGATCTGAACCACGGTCTCATTTAGATACAGAACACGTGTAGCAGATCTCTGTATGTGGGTGGTGGTGGTGGGGGGGCTGTTTGTTTTCTACAAAATGATTGTGAAACAGCAGGTTTAAGTGCAAACAGCAGTGGTGATGTACACAAACATCATGTTTCAATCTTCCACGAAGCCGTGGTTCAGGCCTGTTTGAGCTGCCAAAGGTTCTGGATCTCCTGGAGTCCTGTTGAGGGTTTGAAAGCCTCCTTGTTTTTCAGCTCGTTTGAAGACATTCAGCTAAAGCAATAAGATCCAACACAGCCTGTTTTTTTTTTCTGATGTTCTCATTTCGAAGTTCAAGTTTTTCCATTTTCACTCAGACAAATCTAAAATATGAACTGTTTGGAAAATGTTCAGGAAAACAAAACRCTCTTATTTTGAAAAGCAGTTGTCGCTGGTGCTGATGTGGTTTTAAATCCACTTTTTTAGCCATCAAGTGCATTTTGTTTGCATGGAGTAGGAGTATCTTTATATTCTTGTTTGGATTTAAAGAGACAGCCTCAAAATGAGTTGATCTGAGACAGGCCTCAGAAAAGGGGTGAAAGAGGGGCTTGTGGAGTAACAACAAGGAAGAATTAAAACCATAACATTGCAGTTTTATTGACTACAACCGAATGATTTAAATGTGAAAAAAAGGATTCAAAAGCATCATGTCTCCTTTAAAAGGCAGCTGTTGCTTGTGCTGATCAGATCAACACTATATTTCAAAATATATAAATGCATGCTTGTAGTTTTGTTTGACATTGTCTACTTTTTTATGTGCAGGGATATGGAATTACCTGCAGGGGACGCTGTTGAGGCGTTACGCAGAGGAAAACAACGGTATAAACGTTCTCTCCGGGCCTATTTTTGACAACAACCACGACAACCTTCGAGACACGACAGAGGAAATTAAAGAGTAAGTTCATGACAGTAGGTTTAGTTTAGATTTTCGGCTCTTGACTAAATGAACCTTTCCAGCGCTGCAAGCACATATCTCCCTTGTTTTCATTATCCATTGATTCTCTTTACACAAAACATTTCCTGTAAAAAAGAAAAATCAGATAGCATATTTGATAAAGAAGGAAATGAGTCACAAAAATACTGAAGAGGAACTTTTTTCCTTTTTTATTTTGATGCATTTCTAAAATTTGTCCACTAGCTGGAGACTCAGTACAACCTTTAATGTTTGATTTTACAGTTAATTTTTTGTAACATTTAGCCTGATTTAATCACACAGAGCATTTTTTTATTTATTTTTCAGGCTCTCGGTGGACTTCCCAGTTGTCCCCTCACACTTCTACATGATTGTGACCAGCTGCCAGGAGATCAATCAGACGGTGGAAGAGTGTGATGGAGCGTTAAATGTCTTTTCCTTCATTATTCCTCACAGGCCAGACAACAGTGAATCCTGCAATGTGAGTTCAACCTTTTTTTTTAAATATACAGTATATATGTTTATCCAGCAGGGGGAGCCATTTCAAAGCTTTAGCCCTGTGAACCTTGGTGCTTGGGGTTAACTTCAGAGCAATGAAATGAGCAGAGAGTTCGAAGCTCTTTAATTTGCATTTTTTAAAATTTCCCATAGATATTTAGGATTAATAGAACCCCATAAACTGAGAGACAAACTCTTATTAAACAACCATAAGTTATAATTGCTTAAAATCTTGTCCCCCTGAAAGACAACGCTAAAATGAATGTGCTTAACTATCTAACCTCACAACCTGCTTAACCACTATTAGAGGCTGGTTATCAACTAATGTCTTACTCCTTAATGCTGATAAGACTGATTCTATGGTTATTGGACCTTCAAAACCTCGCCACCTGTTCCAAAATCTTAGTTTAAATAATGATGGTCATAACATCAGATGCAGGGAAAAGGTCAAGAACTTGGGTGTGCTGTTTGACCCTACGCTCTGCTTTGAGTCTCACCTAAAGGAGGTAAAGATTGCTTTTTATCATCTCAGGAATATTGCAAAAAATCAGACACAYACTCTCATTTGAAAATGCAGAGGTCCTCATCCACGCTTTTGTGTCATCACGTATTGATTACTGCAGTTTCTCTTCTCTCTGGGCTTCCAAAGAGGTTTTAAAGGCCTGCAGATGGTTCAGAATGCAGCTACTCGTATCCTAACTAAAACTAGGAAATACGATCACATCACTCCGGTGCTGTCGTCTCTCCACCRGCTGCCCTGCCATGTTCGTGCAGATTTCAAAGTGTTGCTTCTCACCTATCAGGCCTGACATGGCCTAGCGCCTCCCTACCTTTCAGACCTTCTCCACCCTTACATTCCATCTCGTGCTCACGGATCTCAGGACACTGGTCTGTTGATAATCCCTAAGGTCAGACGAGGTCGGGCTTTTTTCTTTCGTGCMCCTTTATTGTGGAATGATTTCCCTCAAGACGTCAGGCTGGCCTGCTCAGTGGAAGTTTTTTAAGCTAAGCTAAAGACCCACCTGTACACTCTGTCTTTTATGTCTTAAATTTTACATTTGCATTTTATCTTTTTTTCTAATGTTTTACTTGTTCTTACAACTTCTTTTGTATTGATTTTTACCTTTTTTTTTAAACTGTTCAGCAC